CCACCTCTAAAGTGCAAGCATTGTACTTTCCCATTTCCCGGACACAAGTCCGACTATATGAACATACCGGTTTCCCCTGAATCCCTTCTCTAAATATGTTCCCTGCTCACACTCGAACAGATCGCAGGTGCCAAGTACTCCATTCGTCTCCATTCACTCCTATCTAACACGCTCATCGCATGCTTGCTGAATTCCAAGCCCCTTGCCCACAAAACCTCGCTTTACCCCCCTCTCTCCAACCCTTTCGAGGACGACCCCTACCCCGCCTTCCTGCCCATATAGATTTATATGCTTTCCATATCATTCTACTTGATATCCATTCTCTCTAATGACCAAACCAACCTCAACCACCCCTCTTCTGCCCTTCTGACTAATACTTTTATTAACTCCACACACTTTAAATAATTTCCACACTTCCAATTTTCTCTGGCCATATTATTTACCATCACACATTGCCCTTAAACAGGACATCTCCACTGCCTCCAACCATCTCCCCCGCTGCTGCAATTTACCACCGCAAGCTTCATCACCCATATAAGAGTGTTGGTACTACTATACTTCAATACAATTCCCTTCTTTGCCTCCATAGAAAACGTTTATGACTCCACATATACCTCAACGCAACCCACTCACCTTTTTCCCATCGTCAATTCTAAAGATTAACCTCAATCTTCATAATCCATCCGCCGACACGCAACTATCCCAAGTACGTATTCTGAAAACATTCACTTCTTTCATAACCTCCTCCCCAATTGATATCCCAATTTTTCTTTATCCTAAATCATTTGACACCCTCATCCCCTTACTCTTTTCTATTTCACTTTCAACTTTCAACCTTTTACATCACATTCCCAAACTCATCCACTAACGTTTGCAGTTTTTCTTTAAACCTCCCATAAGCAACAGTACATCCAGCAAAAAGTCACTGGTCAATTCCCATTTTGAATTTTGATTTCCCCATAATTTAATCCCACCCCTCTCCCAAACACCCTAGCATTTACTTCCTTTACAACCCCATCTATAAAATATGGGAGGTAACCAACTCCTGGGTGACCTTATACATCCCTGTCTAAGACCTACTTTTACTGCCGGGAAGTAGTCATCCCTCTCTTCAACACACCCTACCCTGAGTCCTCACTAATCCTCAAAAAACTCTTTACCAGCATTTAATAAAACATACCACCTATTCCATATACTGCAACATCGCCACATTGCTCCTCTATCCACTCTATCATATGCCTTTTTCTAAATCCATAAATGCAATAAAAAACTTCCCTATCTTATCTAAATACGGTTTTCACATATATGCTTCAATGTGAACACACTGATCTATACACAACCCCTACCCACTCTAAAAACATCCTTGCTCATCATCCGCAATCCTACATTCTTCTTAACCTCTAATTCTTTCAATTAATAACCCTACCGTACACTTTTCCTGGTATACTCAGTAAGCTTTATTCCTCTATAATTTTTTACAGTCTCTTTTGTTCCCCTTTCCCTTTATAATAAAGGGACTATACATGCTCTCTGCCAATCCCTAGGACCTTCCCCTCTTTCATACATTTATTAAACAAAATACCAACCACTTCTCTCCAACACAATATCCCCCCCTGCTTTTAACATTTCAGGGTCATGATCCCATCATTTTCCAGCTGCTTTAACACCCCCTTTCATTTTTACGTAATGCCTCACGTACCTCCCCCACACTTTACATTCCCTGCCTCTTCTTCCACTCCTAAAAGCTGGTATACCTCCCTGACCATGCCATGAAATTACTGTACTGCCTCTGTTTTCTTCCTTAACATTTTAAATTTCCCTCAAATATTCTCGCCATCTACCCAATACCTCCAACTCCCCATCTACTAACCCCCTACTCTTTTTTATTACCTGACAAATCCATATTTTCCCTAGCTTTCTTAACTTGTTTAACTCACTCCAAAATTTTTTTCTTATTTTCATTAAATTTTCTTGACAGTGCTCTCGCCACTCTATCATCTGCTCTCCTTTTGCACTCTCTCCACCACTCTCTTTACCTTCTTTTTACTCTTCCATATACCTGCTCTTCTTATAACACTTCTGCTTTGTAAAAACCTCTCAAAAGCTACCTTTTCTCTTTACACACCCCTTTACTCACATCCCACCAATCACCTCCGTCTTTCCTCCTGCCTCCCCCCACCCTCCTATAACCACAAACTTCTGCCCCACATTCTAATACTGCATTTTTAAAAAAACTAATCCAACCCTTCTTCAAACCCCCCCCACTACTCATCTTGCACTAGCCACCTTTTTCTGCCAATAGTCGCTTATTTTCTCACCCCCGAACTTTCCTACTCCCTATAGTTTATACACTTTTCACCTCCCCTCTTTACTTGTGTTGCCACCTTCCTCTTTTCCATCTACCTCTTTACTCTAACTGTAGCTACAACTAAATAATGACCGATCATATCAGTTGCCCCTCTATAAACATGTACAGTTATCCAGGAGCCTACCGCATCAACCTTTTAAATCCTCACCAATACATAATCTAATAAACAATTTCATTACTGCTACATCATACCTTGTATATTTATTTATCCTCTTTTTTCATAAAATATGTATTACTTATTACCAAATTTCTTTCTACACATAGCTCAATTAAAGGCTCTTCCCCATTACATTACCCCTGGCACCCAAATTTACCTACTACTCCCTCCATAACATTTTTACCCACTTTAGCTTTATTAAAATCCCCAAACACCATAACTCACTCCACACTTGATCACAAAACTCCCCACGACATTCACTCAACAATTTCCCAAAATCTCTCTCATCTCCTCTACACTTCTCCTTCACCAGGTGCATACACGCTTATTATAACCCACTTATTTCACATCCAATTCTTATTTACTCCACATAATCCTTGATTAAATACATTTATAGTCCCCCTCTTGTTTTCCAGCCCATAGCTGTATCCTCAACATTATTGCTACTCCTTCTTTAGCTCTAACTCTATTTGAAACCCCCCTGACCTAATCCCATTTATTCCTCTCCACTAACTCTCCCACCCCCTTCAGCTTTGTTTCACTTAAAGCCAGGACATCCCAGCTTCTTCTCATTCATAACAACCCAATCATCTCCTTTCTTTCATCTCACAACATCCCACGCACATTCAGACTCCTTTCCCACTTTGACAATTTTTCTTTCTTCTTATTCCTTTTTTTTAGTAATCTTTACAGGAAAAAGGGGTTACTAGCCCATTTTTTCCCACCCCGTCACTTTAGTTGACCTTTACAACACGCATGGCTTACGGAGGAAAGATTCTTATCCACTTCCCATGGTTATAAAAGGAAAATTAATAAGACCAAGAAACTATAAGATAAAAATCAAAGAAAACTCAGATGAGTGTGTATAAATAAAAAAATTTGTGGGGTGGTACATGTATGTGTATGTGACTAAGTGTAATAAAGTAGTTCAAGACATGCCTGTAATCTTGCATATTTATGAGACAGACAAAAGACATCAGCAATCCTACCATCATGTAAAACAATCACAGGCTTCGTTTTACACTCACTTGGCAGGACGGTAGTACCTCCCTGGGTGGTTGCTGTCTACCATATACATGTGTGTGTGTGTGTGTGTGTATATATATATATATATATATATATATATGTCGTGCCGAATAGGCAGAACTTGCAATCTTGGCTTAAATAGCAACGCTCATTTTGCCAAATAGGACAAGTGAAAATTTGTGTATGCAATAATTTCGCCAAAATCATTCTGAACCTAACGAAAAAAGTACATATATTTCATTGTGTTTGTTTAGTATTAAATTATTGTAAACAAATCTAAAATATATTTAGTTAGGTTAGGCTAAAATAAATTGTTCTTGTTATAATAAGGTTAGGTAAGTTTTCTAAGATTCTTTAGGTGCAAAATTAAAAATTTTTACATTAACATTAATGAAAAAAATATATCTTTAAATGTATAAGAGAAATTTTTAGAAAGGACTTAATTTTAAATGAGTTCTTGCTAATTGACCAGTTTTACATATTCGGCACGACATAATATATACATATTATTTTTTTTTTCCAACAAGTCGGCCGTCTCCCACCAAGGCAGGGTGACCCAAAAAAGAAAGAAAATCCCCGAAAAAAAAATACTTTCATCATCATTCAACACTTTCACCACACTCACACATTATCACTGTTTTTGCAGAGGTGCTCAGAATACAACAGTTTAGAAGCATAAACATATAAAGATACACAACATATCCCTCCAAACTGCCAATATCCCAAACCCCTCCTTTAAAGTGCAGGCAGTAATATATACAGGAGAAGGGGTTACCAGCCCCCTGCTCCTGGCATTTTAGTCACCTCTTACAACACACATGGCTTACGGAGGAAGAACTCTGTTCCACTTCCCCATGGAGGTAAGAGGAAATAAACAAGAACAAGAACTAGAAAGAAAATAGAAGAAAACCCAAAGGGGTGTGTATATATATGCTTGTACATGTATGTGTGGTGTGACCTAAGCGTAAGTAGAAGTAGCAAGACATACCTGAAATCTTGCATGTTTATGAGCCAGAAAAAAGACACCAGCAGGCTCCTGTTTTACACTCACTTGACAGGACAGTAGTACCTCCCTGGAAACCTAGCTATATGGCATGCTAATTGTCTGGACCATGTGCACATATATTTGCTATGTACAGCATTTCTATTCTAAATACGTATAAAGATGCATTTTAATTCGTTATTGAGTAGGGTCATAATTGTTGTTCCATGCTTCTTAAGATTTCAGTTGTTTTATTCATTATTTTTTGGGTCACGGTACCTCGATGAGAGATTGGCGGTGTGTTAAAAAAAAATTCCAAAGCATTAACTTTGGTGCTTGTTCAGGCTGGTAGTATCTCACATTCTCTACACAGTCTTGCACAGCAGTACCTTGAAGACTTCCTTTCATCTTTTCAAAACATTTGCTTAAACCTCATTCAGAACACTTTACTGGAGATAATCACTTACCTCTGTCCATCAACTGCATTGACAAAATCTTGGTACAATTTAACACGTTGTAATTCCCGCACCTGCCGAACTCCTGGACCTATATCATCAAGAAGCTGGCCATATTTTTGTATGTGACCAGTTACCTGTGAATACACATCCATAGCAAATATTCAAGATGATGATCAAGTTTATTATAATGATTATTATAGTACAAGTAAAGCATTGCCTATTCTGTACTATATTTCTGCCCAGTCTCTGATAAGGTCAAAGTAACAAAATGATACACTAAAAAAGTGTGACAGTCCATCAATTTATTTAATTTGCAAATGAAGATGATAAGGTATAGAGAAAGTGGATGGAGCTAAACTGTAGTACAAAGCCACTTACTTGGTAGTGAAGACGATCACATTGTGCACCAAGAATTTCTTCTTTCTTTAGGGCCTCTTCAGCTGCTTTGACTGCTTTTGTAATTTTGTCTGGAGCTTCTGTAGTGGCAAAGCGTAACTGGAAAACAAAACTGAGCAAGTTATCTTTTATTTTTTAATCACATAAACCATCTCCTTCCAAGAAAGGGTGGCCCAAAAAAAGAAAATACATTCACCATCATTCATTCAATAGCTGTCTTGCCAGAAAGGCACGCTCATCACAATTCTGAGTGTAGGCAATGGATTTTACAGCTCGAGGACTCAAGTCACACTAACTAGTTTCCTTGAATACCTTCTTAAATGTTAACTTGCTCACACTCCACAAGCACATTAAGCCATAAGAAGTCAGGTTCCTCCTTTCCATCCCATATTCTCTCTCACTCTCATTCACTCACTCTCATTCACTCTCACTCTCATTCACTCTCACCCTCATTCATTCTCACCCTCATTCACTCTCACCCTCATTCTCTCTCACCCTCATTCTCTCTCACCCTCATTCACTCTCACTCTCATTCACTCTCACCCTCATTCACTCTCACCCTCATTCACTCTCACCCTCATTCACTCTCACCCTCATTCACTCTCACCCTCATTCACTCTCACCCTCATTCACTCTCACCCTCATTCACTCTCACCCTCATTCACTCTCACTCTCATTCACTCTCACTCTCTCTTTCCAAGTTTACTGGGACAAGGTATTCAAAACTCAGTGATGTGTAGTCACTAACACTGAGGGACCTCTTGTATTCACTGTCCCCTACATTAGAATCACTTGCCTCATCTCTCATCTGTGCTCTCACTCTCATTGAACACATTCACAAGAACCTTCTGGAAGCTCAAGCCACTAGCACTCAACCTCCTCTACCCCCATCCTACAACCTTTCCTGGGACAACTACCCTTCCTTCCTTCCACCATAAAATTATACACCTTCTTGGTCATCCTATTTTGTTCCATCCTCTCTAAATGCACACTGCCTCAACAACCCCTCCTCAGCCATCTGAGCTATACCCTTCATAACCCCACACCTACTCTCCAAGCTGTGAATTCAGAATAACAGACAAGTCTGATTTTGTCTTAAATCCAAAATCAGTTAAAGTGGGGTCTTTTAAATTTAAAATGAGGTTGTACTCTCATAAAATTACATAGTGACCAAAATAACCTGACAAATGTCAAAAATTATTGAACTTTCTTCTATGTTATATTCAAGCCTCTTTTTGTTATAATGCAATTACAGCAGAACCCCAGTTTTCATAATTAATCTGTTCCAGAAGGCTGGCCGAAATCCGAAATGCTCGAAAGCCGACGTAATACTTCCATAAGAAATAATGTAAATCCAATTAATCCGTTTCAGACACCCAAAAATATTAACAAAAAATACATTTTACAGAGAATAACTATAGTTTTACATACAGAAAACAATGAGAAATAAATATAAATGACTAATTTTAATGATAAATGAACATTACATACCTTTATTGAAGACTCTTGTTGGTGAGTAGTATTTATTTGTAGTCCCAGGCGGAGTACATCCCAGTGTATACCTACCGGCTACATACACTGCTGTCTACAGCCATATTATTAACATCAACATACCATGTTCACTGAGTTTAACTGTTTCTAACAACTACCTTTAGATGCCATCATACACAAAGGGAGAAGTAATGATTAATTCATGTCGAGAATTGTAAACAAAAGCTTATGTATAAAGGGCAGTTACTGGGCCAACGCAGTCATACAGTTTTCTCTAATGCTGGACCAGAGAAAACGTAATGTTTACCCTCCACCACATATAAACATTATATGTTTATATGTGGTGGAGGGTAAACGTTACATAGCATATAAATATTACATGTTTATATGCTATGTAATGTGTTTCTTACATAATTTAGTAGAAAATATCATAGATGGATAAATGAAAATGTCTATATTAACCAAAAATAAGATATCTAATGTGCCCAAGAGTGAGTCACGAACGTATGAGCAGCCCAGGCGCACACATCTGGTACCAATGATTTCCAAGGAGATGTATGAAACCCAGGGGAATATTTCGCCAAAAAGTGCTCGAAATCCAAAATGTATGATTTACGCACCTGCTGAAAACTGGGGGTCCACTATAGGTAGTTACTTAAATGCACACACAAAAATATCTAATTTATATATGACTCATATGTTTCTACTATAATACATGTATTACAAAATACACATACATTATTGCTGCATGCTGAAACTACTTACCCTCTTCTCCAGTTCATCCTTTGTCCTGGTCAACTCCTGCACAAGCTCTGAGACTTTCTCAAGGTTCTTAAGGTTGTTACCAAACACTGAATTCAGCTGCTGCACCACTGCATGATTGATCTCATCTTGGTCCACTAGGGCATCTAAACTTGAGTTCAGTTCAAGAGATACCATGGTGAACTATCTTAGCATGCTTTTGTTTGTCTTGCGAGTTGAGTTTTTGCACACACCTCATACAATGCTTCTGAAATGGCCTACACCTTTTTTTTTTTTTTCAAATTTTTTTACATATCTAAGGCCATAACGATTTATGTAAATTGATTTACTCAGTATCTCCTCTTCCACATTTAATAAGTACTATACTATAAGTAGTTATGCCCTTAAATTTCACTTTTCTGACTGATTTTCAGTTTTTAATAGCTATTGCTCAGGCTTGAGACTGCCAAACACAATACTAAATTTCTCGTGATCAATGATGCCACCAAATCTGAGGAAAAGGAACAGAGAGAATTTGGGCTGCGAATATCTTAGCAAGCGAACATAAATGTCAGCAGGATTATCAGATGTGTCGGCAATTGGTACTATATCACTGGATGGGATGTATATATCTTTACGACTTCCCCAAAAATTTAGATGAGATACCTTTGCTAAACTGCTTTGTGTGTCATAGTAAACATGACCAACTATCCTGCGGAATATTTCTCCCATAACATATAACATGACAAGTGCCAGTCCATTAATGGCAGCAACACCAACAAAACGTTCTAGCCCTAAGAGTCCTACATATGCAAAATATCCAGCAGCAGGAAGAGCTAGGCAAGTAAGAGCAGTTTGATGTATCTTCAACCGACACAATGAACGAGCCAACCTTATGTGCGGGAATTTATATATCATTTGAAAGCTATTTCCATTCTGAAGTGGCTTACTAGTTGTAATGATCTGACTCTCTTTACACTGGTGTTGCCTGGTTGCACTGCAGAGTGGACGCACTACATTAGTGTTGCAGCGTAAAAAGGCTACCAGAGGAATTCCTCTTCGGTAAACTTGTTGGCTAAGAGCTGTACTGAGCATTGCACATACACAACTGTGGAAAAGGAAACAATAGTTAAAAGATAATGTATTAAATACTCTTAAAAAAGTTCTTAAACATATCATTATTAAAAATACATTAGATTTTTAGTTTTAGTCGCTGCATAATCATGGGCTTTTCAAAATGTATAGAATACTGTACATAAATGTCACCTGATTTTGTACAGCATTTTGAAAGTAAAATTTTGTTTTGGTTCTTGTATTTTATACAACAGTTTTCTATTCTTTAATAGTATGTTGGCAAAACACTATCTACCATACTGGAGCATTTAGTACAATAAGGACAGCCTCACTCTCCCAATGATCAAACATTATAATATGCTGGAAGTCTCCAGAAATTTGCCATAAAGATATTGCTTTAGATCAGGTTCTCAAATTGGATTTGCTCAATGATTCCTGCATTTAGGAATGAGGTCACCTATTTATCTTGAAGAGATAAAAGAAAACCTGGAATCCAGAATGCTTTTATTTCTCTCTTACACTCATATTAATTCCTGTTATATTAGAATTATTCAGCAGACATCACAGCAGGCTCTTGTCATTGTTCAGCTTGTCTACCTGTTACCTTCTAATTGTCTATTTTGGGGGTCATCCAGATGGCCCAGTCCCAGACCAGGCATCCTGGATCATCCTGATCATTCAGGCTGTTAGTGCTAGTAGCATGCAGTTCAACTTAGGAACCACAGTTTGGCTAATTAAGAACCAACTTGAGAAATTGATCATGCTTTCCCTTGAAATGAGCTAGAGGTTAGCTAGTAATTTACCCATATACCTGTGTTTTTTGCTTACTTTGATTTTGTCATTAAGTTTTAGAATGCAAGCTCTAGCATTTATTTTCAACATAGAGCAAATCATAGGGGATTATACATAAGCCCTGAATTTAACTTAGTGCCCTATTAGTAAGTTAAATTAGGTGTCTGGTAATGGTCACTGAGGAGGACAAATATTGCTTGTCTCTGATCTTACCAGACAATTCTGTAACCAATGGATTTTGTACCCTGAACAAAGTTGAAGTACGGTACATACTGTATAACCTTAGGACTTCAATTATTTATAGTATTTGATACGAAGCCAAGAATTCTATTTGCTTTGTTGCAGACACTTGTACCCCACTGTCTTAACTTTTAATTTTTGCTAAGCAAACACTGCTAAAAAAAAAAATAATTCAGTTTGACTAGGATTCAGATTATTTAGCATAAAGGTAACATACATCATACATAACTATTTTCTTTCCTAAGATTAGAACCTTATATTTCTCAGCACTGAACTGCAGCTGCCTCTTGTCCAACCACTCATCCTATCCAAGTCATCCTGTAGCTTTCTAGTGCCCTCATAAGAAATAATTTAATGGCTTATTTTAAAATCATCAGCAAGCTTACTTATGTCCCTATTTATTCCCTCATCTATGTTGTCCATGTCAACTGTGAACAATGAAGATCTTGATACTGATCCCTGTGGCACACCACTTACAATAGGTCATTATTTTGATTTCTCCCCATTTATGCACACTCTGTTGCCTATTGGTCACCCATGCCTCAGCCCAGGAGATAATTTCTCCTTTAGTAGGTACAGATACTTTCTTCATCAACCTCCTGTGTGGAACTATGTCAAAGGCCTTAAATTCATACACACAATATCATATTCTTCACACTGTTCTACCACCTTGAATACCTTAATGAGAAAGGTTGGTAAATTCATAAATCCAGAATTCCCCCTTGTGCTGAGATTGTTATCATATTAAATTCTTTCAAGGTGGCTTCAAACTGCATCCACAGTCATTGATACTATCAACTTTCTCACAACTAAGGTTAGACTGATTAGTCTATAATTTGAAGCTAAGGTCCTATCTCCTGCTTTGTAAATGGGCATCACATTTATCATTTTCTACTTATCCAGTACAATACCCATTTGTAGTTTGTAGTAATCTGAATCCTCCTCATATTCCTTTAACCCTTTGAGGGTCGAGAGGCCCTCTTCCAAACTCATTCTCAGGGTCAAAAATTTTTCGAAAAAAATAAATTATTTTTCTTATGAAATGACAGAGAATCTTTTTCCGATCATAATGACACCAAAAGTATGAAATTTGGTGAAAAACTTGCGGAATTATGCTCTTGCGAAGCTAGCGGCCTCAAAGTTGGCGATTTCGCCCCCTTTGAGCCCTATTTTCGGCCAATTCCAATGTTACAGTTGCACATTTCTAGGCCCCTCTTACATTACTTTTGCTCTCCATTTTGAATTTTTATTCTCACAGAAAATAGAAAGTTTTCTGTTATGTGTACTACAGCATCATTGTAAAAATGGTATAAATGATATCAGCGCACTTATGAAAGAATATTAGACTCGCCAGTTGATGAGTATTGGACGTGTGGCTTGATTTCTTTTCCCTTGAATATCGGTAAAAATCGATCATTTTCGCTACTTTGAGCTCAATTTCAAGGTACTTGTCATCGTGAAACCAATCAAAACCATCTCTAATTCTGTAACATATCTTCCATTCTATCAAATGAGACCAAGGAAACAAGAATACAACCATAAATACCATACGAAAATTCACTAGAAAGTCACTGTTTTCAACCAAAAACTCAGTCGAAGTTTTTTTTTTCTCATTGTGCAGTGTGCTTCAGGATTTTTTTTATACTGCGCGCAATAACCCCACAGACCCATTCTTTCATATGTAGGCCTGCCAGCTTTCTTCCACCAGATTTGAAGGTGCTAGAATTTAGGCGTACAAGTACGTGACTGGCCCTGGCTGCAATGACGTACAGTGGTCCCTCATTTATCGTCATTAATCCGTTCCTGGAAGTGTGACGATTATCGAAATAGACAATTTTCGAATCAATTTTCCCCATAAGAAATAATGTAAATACAATTAATCCGTTCCTGACACCCAGAAGTATTAAAACAAATTTTTTTTTTACATGAAATATAGATGTAGTACATAAACAATACAATGGGACATGATGAATGAAACATTAACAGCATAACACTTACCTTTATTGGAGATTCTTCTTAGTGTATGGAAGACTGGAGGAGGAGAGAGATTGGATTAGTTACTGTTTGGAAAGGGAATCCCCTTCCATCAACACCTCAGGTACCAAGTGCTTTTCTGGGGTTACTTCTCTTCTCTGTTTCTTAATGCCACTAGGACCAGCTTGAGAGTCACTGGAGTCCTGTCTCACAAAAAAAAGTGTCCAGAGAGCTCTGTTTCTGGCATCTCTTTAAAACTTCCCTAAAATGGGCCAAGACTGTCACTGTACAAGTTGCCGATATGGCTTGCAACATCCTTCTCAGAGTGATGTTTCTCCATAAATCTTTCCATCCTACCCCACATTTCAAAAATCTCCTTAATTTCTGAAGAGGGCACCTTCTTCCATCTCTCTTCCTCCTCCTCTGCAGCAAGATTCTGAGCTGCGATCTGTTCCTGTTCCTGCTGAAGCTCTTGCAGCTCCTCAATGGTTAGCTCTTCCTTGTGGTCCTCTACCAACTCTTCCACATCCTCCAAACTCACATCCAACCCCATGGAACTCCCCAATGCCACAATAGATTTCACAACTGACATAGACTCATCAGGGTCAGCCACAAACCCTTCAAAATCCCTCTTGTGGACACAATCTGGCCACAATTTTCTCCAAGCAGAGTTCAAAGTCCTGGTAGTCACTCCCTCCCAAGCCTTACCTATAAGGCTTATGCAATGGAGGATGCTGAAGCGTTCTTTCCAAAAATCTCTTAGGGTCAAGCGAGTGTCTGAGGTCACATTAAAGCACCTTTGAAACACTGCTTTGGTGTAGAGTTTTTTAAAGTTTGAAATGACCTGCTGGTCCATGGGCTGGAGGAGAGGAGTGGTATTCAGGGGCAAGAACTTCACTATGATGAACCCAAACTCCTGCAGAATTAGGTCATCCAAGTTTGGAGGATGAGCAGGTGCATTGTCCATTACTAGAAGGCACTTGAGATCCAATTTCTTTTCCAGGAGGTAATTCTTCACACTAGGGCCAAACACTTCGTTGAACCACTCAACGAAAATTTCCCTCGTGACCCATGCCTTAATATTAGATCTCCAAAACACACAATTTACTCTTCATAACATTGTTTTTCCTGAACACTCTGGGATTTTCAGAATGGTACACTAGTAACGGCTTCACTTTGAAATCCCCACTAGCATTAGCACAGAACATGAGTGTCAGCCTGTCTTTCATAGGCTTGTGTCCTGGCAGTCCCTTTTCCTCCTGAGTAATGTAGGTCCTCTTTGGCATTTTCTTCCAAAAGAGGCCTGTTTCGTCACAATTGAACACTTATTCAGGTTTCAGTCCTTCAGCATCTATGTACTCCTTGAATTCACTTACGAATTTTGTAGCTGCAATTTTGTCCGAACTGTCAGCCGCACCATGCCTTATCACACTGTGTATGCCACTACGCTTCTTATATCTCTCAAACCAACCTTTGCTGGCCTTAAATTCACAATTATCAGTACTCGTTGCAGGCTATTTCTTTACCAGATCGTCATGCAACTGCCTAGCCTTTTCACAAATAATTGACGTCATAAGAGCATCTCCTGCTAATTGTTTCTCGTTTATCCACACTAATAATAACTTCTCAACATCTTCGAGTACTGGTGATATCATTTTGGTCAGCATATTTACCCCCTTTGCAACAACAGCTTCCTTGATTTCCTTTTTCTTGGCCACGATGGAAGATATGGTTGTACGGGATTTGTTATACATCCTGGCCAGTTCGGCCACACGTGCGCCACTTTCATATTGTTCAATGATGTTTTTCTTAAATTCAATCGTATTTCTCACTTTCTTTACCAAAGGCTTGGCACTTGGAGCTTTCTTTGGAGCCATGGTAGCTTATTTAGCACTTGCAAGCACTAAAATGAAAGGAACATTATGAAATATTTCATATGAACAAGTGAGGGGACCGTCGCTCACTGGTAAACAATGGCACACTGGCTGGGAAGGGAGGCTGAGGCGGCTCAGAGCGCGAGTACGCGTC